TAATAAAATAGCATTATGATGATTAATTAAATTTTAATTGTTGGTCTGATTTCGAAGGAAGTGTAGGTGGTCCAATGGGGCCTTTTGACCATCGTAGAGGCCAAGGTAGGGCGGGTACAGAGCGGCCCAAGAGAGTTTATGGCACTGCTAGGTGATGTGGTAATAGACGTTAGGAGAGTAGATACTGTGTAGCTTATTGTTAGTTTGTACGTTCTTATCAGTGTGCAAGATATAATATTTCTTGTTAGGTCTTTAGTGTAGGGAGAAGGTGACTTGGTCCTACTATTGTGTAATGACCCCCCCCCCCCACAGACTGAAGCTCCGGGAACAAGCCAATGCACACGCCGCAGTGGTAGGACGCTTCCACAAGCCCTTCTGATCGACTCCAAATCGATCCAGGTGTACCCTGTCCTTTGAGACCATAACAGAAAATGGCTCCCAACGTGGGGCCCACAAGTCTGACTTACTCCCACGTAGACTGAATGATTTGTGGCTCCATACTTTATTCCCTCTTGGAATACTTTTCTGTCCGTCTGGTTTTCTTAATTTTTTTGTATAACTGATCATTTTTAGTAAGCTTTGGAACTCGAAACTAGTAGCTAGATGCTTACAGTTTCGACCAGGTTTTAATTATGTTAAGTACGCATTTAGTTTGTTTGATTACGACTAGTACAAAAACTTTTGCTGGAATCGAAGTTTCTTCAGGTTGTATGCTTAGGAATTTGTCCGCAATGGATTATGCATTTAAATGGTTATCCAACTAGTACTTTCACTTTAGATTTCAAAGCTTTTATGGCTGTGGATTTTGTTAGGTTGTTAGGAATTTAGCTGTAGTATGGCTAAATGCTTGCTAGCTTACCAACTGCTTTTTCTTTCAATTTTTATATTTAACGAGTTTTGATTTTTGTACTTTCTCAATTCCCCTTTGAGATCTTTTTCATCAATTTTTTTTTTAATTTTCTTGTTTTTTTTTTTAAATTTTCTTAAATTTTTCGGAATTTTATTGTGAAGATTTCGCAGTAACCGATATCAGGTTTTGTTTTTTTTTAGTTTTATTTTCTTCGTCATCAATGCTCTAAGATAATTAGTGCCGGCTTACTTTAGTCTAGAATTACCCATCACCGACTTTGACCACCTCACGACCGAAGAAACAGACCTTATCTATCTTTTGTTATTTTTATTTGCTTGATATATTTTTCTTTTGATTTTTGACGATTTTGAACCGATTAAATTTTGTTTGATTCAGGTTCCTGGTGCAATTAAAATACATCGGTTTAGTTACTATTGGTAAATATAAAAGTTTAGTTTTGTGAAATTTCTATAAATACCACTTGGAACATTTTTATTTTTTTTTTGCGTTTGTATTAACAAGGCTTAAAGTATTTTTTGACGCTTTTGTACACCAATGCTAATTTATTAAATACAGGGTTTTTTCGAAATGATTTGTTCTTTTCACAATCTTGTGAAATATTGATATTAATGAATGAATGAGTATATTAATGAATTAAACTAGTAATACCCTTAAAAAATAAAAAAAAAGAAAGAATAGTCAGAAACACATTCTAGCTGACTTTTTAATAAACACACCAGAAAATATTGTTTTTTTTTGTATTTTTCTTCTTTTGAGTTGGAGGATCCCTTAGTAAGAAATTACAAACGAATTTTTGTTTTATAACTACAAAAATACTTAACCCCTCCATTCTTTATCTCGGCTAGATTTTGGTTTTATTATCGGCAGGTTGGTTCTCTTTCTGTTAGAGGTGTCAAACTATCGATAGTCACACCATCGATAGTTTTGATAGTTTTCAGAAAAACTATCAATATTCACGATAGTCTCGAAAAAAAAAAACAAAACTATCGATAGCACTATCGATAGCGCTAAATCAGTTATGTTGCTTTGTTTTTACAGGATCATAGTGAAATAAATATTATCTTATAAAAGTTATAATCATTCAAAATTAAGTAACTGCTTAGCCAAAATACTTCTCTTTTTAGAAAGTTCAAAAAAAAACACAAGTTATACAAATAAAACAGGATTTACGATTAACACATGTATGTATGTTGGCCTAAATGCGTGCATATTTGAATATGACGTCGGCATCACACTAAAAAACAAAATTTTTAATTCAAATTAAAAAATTCAGGTATTACCAACAATAGTTCGATAGTCCTACTAAACTATCGATATTTTTGATAGTATAAGAAAAAAATATCAATGTGTATTGATAGTCTAAAAAAATTGAAACTATCGATAGTGCCATCGATAGTTTGACAACTCTACTTTCTGCTTGGTGTTTTTATATATTTTTTTTCCTTTTCCCTCATATTTATTTTTTTTTGGCCATTATTCGATATCTGGGCCTGTGACCATGCCGTTGAATCATAGTAGAATCATAGCAAATTTGTGTACAATTTGTCGCGAACGGTTCTCTGAACATGATGATAATTTGTTGACGGCTTGCTCACACCAGTTCCATAGGGCCTGTCTGCTGAACTGGCTAAAGCGTAATTCCAATTGTCCGCAATGCCGCGCGAAATGTCACAGCCGAGAGTTCGGTCAAAACGCAGGTGCACAGACTAGAGCTCGTGTGGCGCAACACTCCGAGGAAAAATCGAATAATAGGAACCCCGACTTTGCCACAAATCTACAAGCTTATCAACAGCAAACCGAAGATGCTGCAAGTTTGCCTGTTGCCAATGCACCGGAAGTTAGCGTTGATGTCAATGACGAGGATAATCGGATTCGTAATATCGTATCCGCGGTAATTTTCGCTAGGCAAGCTGCAAATTTTAATAATTTAGAAGACCGTGTTTCGCAATTAATCGAACAAAAGCTCGAAGATGTTATGTCCAATTTAATGACTCGGTTAAACTTAAACACTCAACCCGCTCAACCAACAGCAAATCGTAGCCCCGAAGTAAGTGTTCCCCAACTTAATATGCCGCGGAACAACTCGACGCCGTTCTGGCCTAGAGGTATTCCAAACCTATCACATAACTCGAACCAAAACTTCCACCACCAGATTGACCAGTTACGTTTTAGTGACATATCGAGTGTCCCAAACTCTGGCCGGATAGCTCAGTTGATATCTAATTGGGACATAAAATTTGACGGTTCACCGAAGCTGTCAGTTGACAGTTTTTTTTTATCGGCTTGAATGCCAAGTAATAGACACGTTGGGTGGTAATTTAAATCTGCTGTGCGAACACATTCAAAGTTTGTTCTTGAATGAAGCAAAGGACTGGTATTAGCGATACCGCCGTACCGTAGAACGTGTTATGTGGCCGTCGCTTTGTGAAGCGCTGCGTACCAACTTTCAGCAGCACAAGACTGCTTTTGAAATCAAAGAGATGGTTCGCAGCAGAAAACAGGGACAAAATGAAAGTTTCGACGACTTCCGTAACGCTGTCCTTAAACTAGCTGAACCCTTGCAGTCACTGTTTTCAGAATTGGAATTAATGGAAATTTTGCAACATAACTTACGACCCCGTATACGACAACAGTTACTTTACGTACAAATAAATTCTTTAGCGGAATTGCGTAGGCTTTGTCTCAAGAGCGAGAGCCTTGTTAACGAGATAAACAGGTCAACCAACGCATTGCCAAATGTAAACCCGCGACCGCAATCACGTCGTTACGTCAACGAGGTACAAGATGAAAACGATCTAGCAGAAAGTATAGGAATTGAGCCTGAAGTCGATGAAATCTCCAAGCTGTCAGCTAAAGCAAAACAAATATGCTGGAATTGCCAACGAGAGGGGCACAGATACTTCTATTGCTTCGAAATCAGAACGGTGTTCTGTTACGGTTGTGGTGCTCCGGAGGTCTATCGACCCAAATGCAGCCGCTGCAATCCGGAAAA